CTACTTGAGTACAGTATCAAAGTATTTGTACTTCGTTACTTCCCATCTCTGCTTGTATTCAATATCTAAAATTTGACAGTAAAGTGCCTTGAGATGACATGTTTTGTGAATTGGAGCTATATAAATAAACTGAATTGAAAGATAGACTTAAAAATAAAGAATAACAATGTCATAATAATAATCAATTTTTTAAACCCATCTAGCTTAATAAGAGAGATAGGAAAAGCAATCAACATGTCAAGGGATCCTGGAATAGAACCAACAACTTTTGGGTTGCAAGATGACATCCTAACCCATTGAGCCACCTAATTAAAACAATCATATCTAAATTTATATTAGATTTGAAACAACTAACATTACCTTAAATAAAATCTTATGGTTTCTTATATTCATTTCTTTATTAAACTGGTTCCAATGCTAAATAAGTATCAAAAACATAAGCTTCCCAAATTATGTACAGTTGCCTTCTCGTTAAATAAAAAAAGAGAGTATTAAGATCACTTAAAACATTTCAAACAAAAAAGAAACAAGGGGAGAAAAAATAAGAAAAAGCGTAAAAAATGCAGAAAGTAAAGTTGAGGAACAAAATAAAGTGGAATGTGGAGACTGTAATACACCAAGCCAGCACTGCTTTAATGAGCTGCTTTGGTTAAGCATTGTCTTATTAATTAATGCATAAATTTAGATATTTAGTGTGTTTTATTTAATCTTATCGACCTTCAACTTTATTCACAGTAGGGAGAGCAAAAAAAAAAAAAAAAAGTCCAATCTTAAGTGACCTTAATGCTTCGTCGTACACTATATTGCCAAAAGTATTTGCTCACCCATCCAAATTATTGGAATCAGGTGTTCCAATCACTTCCATGGCCACAGGTGTATAAATTCAAGCACCTAGGCATGCAGACTGTTTTTACAAACATTTGTGAAAGAATGGGTCGCTCTCAGGAGCTCAGTGAATTCCAGCGTGGAACTGTGATAGGATGCCACCTGTGCAACAAATCCAGTCGTGAAATTTCCTCGCTCCTAAATATTCCACAGTCAACTGTCAGCTGTATTATAAGAAAATGGAAGTGTTTGGGAACGACAGCAACTCAGCCACGAAGTGGTAGGCCACGTAAACTGACGGAGCGGGGTCAGCGGATGCTGACGCGCATAGTGCGAAGAGGTCGCCAACTTTCTGCAGAGTCAATCACTACAGACCTCCAAACTTCATGTAGCTCAAGAACAGTGCGCAGAGAGCTTCATGGAATGGGTTTCCATGGGCGAGCAGCTGCATCCAAGCCATACATCACCAAGTGCAATGCAAAGCGTCGGATGCGGTGGTGTAAAGCACGCCGCCACTGGACTCTAGAGCAGTGGAGACGCGTTCTCTGGAGTGACGAATCGCGCTTCTCCATCTGGCAATCTGATGGACGGGTCTGGGTTTGGCGGTTGCCAGGAGAACGGTACTTGTCTGACTGCATTGTGCCAAGTGTAAAGTTTGGTGGAGGGGGGATTATGGTGTGGGGTTGTTTTTCAGGAGCTGGGCTTGGCCCCTTAGTTCCAGTGAAAGGAACTCTGAATGCTTCAGCATACCAAGACATTTTGGACAATTCCATGCTCCCAACTTTGTGGGAACAGTTTGGAGCTGGCCCCTTCCTCTTCCAACATGACTGTGCACCAGTGCACAAAGCAAGGTCCATAAAGACATGGATGACAGAGTCTGGTGTGGATGAACTTGACTGGCCTGCACAGAGTCCTGACCTCAACCCGATAGAACACCTTTGGGATGAATTAGAGCGGAGACTGAGAGCCAGGCCTTCTCGTCCAACATCAGTGTGCGACCTCACAAATGCGCTTCTGGAAGAATGGTCAAAAATTCCCATAAACACACTCCTAAACCTTGTGGACAGCCTTCCCAGAAGAGTTGAAGCTGTTCTAGCTGCAAAGGGTGGACCGACGTCATATTGAACCCTATGGATTAGGAACGGGATGTCACTTAAGCTCATATGTGAGTCAAGGCAGGTGAGCAAATACTTTTGGCAATATAGTGTATCAAACCCTGTTATACTGAGGGCTACATAAAAGTGCTGATAACATTTAATCAAACAGTAAATCTAAGCAACTCATGGATAAATAATCTAATATTGCTCAGAATGTACAAAGCAAAAATGCTCAACTATGATTTATAACCGGGCTTAGTGATGCTGTGGTGACAAAGTGATTATCAGTGGTACAGTGGGCCCCTAAATCAGATTCAGCTTTGGACTCTTACAAACTGGGACAAGCTCTGCGGGTTCTGTGATACTGGGTCGTGTTGGTTTCCACATAAAGACGACTGAATGACTGAGGAACAAGTAGAGAAGTAGAAAGCCTTGGTTTCTTCAGACTCTTTGTGACTTTAAAGTACAGAAACAGTATGATAGAAAATATAAGAAGCCTAAAACTATACATTTACACTGCAAAAACGATCTAGAAATAAGTAAAAATTTCCGAAATGAAGTGTATTCACTCTTAGTTTGAGTAGGTAAATGAGATAGTTTGCCAATGGAATGAGTAAATTTACTCTTAAAATAAGCTAAATAGATAATATGCACTTGAAATAAGACAATGAAATTGTGTTTTCTTATTTTAAGTGTAAATTGTCTTGTTCCATTGGCAGAATATCTCTTTTACCTCCTCAATTCAACAACAAATGCACTTATTTTAAGAATAAAATTACTTATCTAGATTTAGATTTTTTTGCAGTGTAAACATTTTAAGCACATTTGAAATATATATTTGAAAAATCTAAGCGAGCAATAAAAAGACATAAATAAAATATGTAGCTTATGTGTGTAATACTGCTTGCACTGGGAACACTACATCCTTTTCACGAGTTTCTCTTGGGTAAAATAACCTGCCATTTATGAGCATACTTGTGAACAGACACACACCATTTCCAGTCACAATTTCCAGCTGGACATTTACTCAAAAGCAAAAACAAAGAATAACAAAGTCAGTGCACAGATCCGGCAAAACAACAGCATTTAAAATGAAGGTCAGTGGTTTTCAGTTGTATTATCAAATCTACATTTAAGAATAAAGAAATCTAGGATTTTAAAATCCAGCATTTTTTAACCAGATTTTTTACACTGGAAAAAAATCAAAATCTAGATAAGTCATTTTTTTCTTAAAATAAGTGCATTTGTTCTTAAATTGAGAAGGTAAAACAGACATTTTGCCAATGGAACAAGACAATTTACATTTAAATAAGGAAACACAATTGCATTTTTCTTATTTCAAGTGCATTTTATCTAAATATCTTATTTTAAGAGTAAAAATACTCATTCCATTGGCAAATCATCTCATTAACCTGCTCAAATGAAGTGTAAATGCACTGAATTTGAGAAATATTTACTTATTTCTAGATCGTTTTTCCTGTGTATGCCTTTTTCTTGAAGAAAAACAAACAATAACATCTAAAACACCAACAGGGAGGTGAGTGCATCCTCTAAATAGACAGCTGGACTAACAGCGTTCCCTGTTATATCTCCTGACACTAACTCACTCACACATCACAGAAAGAGAGCCTTGATCAAACTAGATGTTGGTCTGCCATTCACAATCTGAGCATACTTCATTGACTGCAAGTTTGGAGACCTGCATCATAATCAGCAACTTTCTTCTGACGCGTTTACATGTTACAGAGTCAGGGGAGATTCCAAAGACATAGCTACAACATCCCTGCAGGATTTAAGTCAGTGAGGCGTGATGAGTGATACCAGGGAGGAGGAATCGCAGGAAGAAAAACAGGCTGCAGATGCATGGAGATAATGACCTTCTATATTATCAGTTTTAATATTATTATAATACATTTATGCATGAAAAACTTAACTGTGGGTTTGTGTTTACGATAAAAAAAACAGATATCTGGAGTTTAATCTGTGGAAAATTTGCATTTTGTTCCAACAAAGCTTTGAAATGTTTGTTATAGAGCTACACCAGTCAGAGCTGGTTTTCATTGGCTGGTCCTGTTTTATGATCTGCTGAACAGATACTGAAAAAAAACACATTTAAATGAAATGCATCAAACCTATTATGCCTCCCCTCGTTATTGGTCTATGCACACATCAGCCAAATATGTATTTAGATGCACATAAAAATCAGATCAAGTTTAGCTAAATTGTTTTGATGCAAAAATGAAGGAATCTTCTGATGCCCTCATTTTCTGTTTTTATCACAGTGCCTGCAACACTTTTGTCTTTCATGTTTTACAGACCTTAACAGGGAAAAATACTTTATCTGCAGCTAAGTTCTCAAGGAAAACCTTAAATCTAACTTAGAAATAAGAAATGTTTAATAAGTAAAAACTCTAACTTTTAAAAACAATTTTAAACAAGTAAAATATTTACATTTTGTTGTAAAGCTTTGAAAAGCTGCTGCCCTGAATCTGTGAGTTTGAAGAAAAAGCACCTAAAATAGCAAATCTTAGAGAGGGTGTAGATTTTTTTGTTGGAAGAATGTAAAAGTGACTTTATATCTAACTATTATAGCTGCAAAACAGATCAAATAACAATCATCAGAATAACAGTGTCATTATCAGAATGCACAGATGTGATATTTGGTGGGGCAACATGAACCTGATTCAGAAACAGTTCGCTTATAACAGTGATGATGGAAAAGAAAAAGAGCAGGGAGGAAAAATGTGTCATCATTGTATCCGACACTGATATTTTAATGCTATTTTTATATTCACAGTAAGACTAATACAGCTATAGAGGTAAATTATGTATTTAGAGTATTTTTGTTGTATTATTCTGCAGCACAATAAACATTGAATATGTAAAAACATAGAAATCCATCACATAGAGAATGCTAAATTAAAAAATGTGATTAGGAGTCACTTTAAAAAACAAAAAAACATGATATTTGATGTTATTGGACGGTTCCAGCATCAACCACAAACCCCAAACTCGCTGTGAATGAAGAAAAAAGTCAAAGCAGGGATAGAAATGCTGAATGGTGCAGAAAAGTCCTACCTGGTCCCTTTGGATGCATGGCAGAGAGGTCCGCCGGTGTGACTTACTACTGGACTGACTGTGCGCCATGTCTGAGGATATAACAGAACTGGACCTCCTGCGCCTTTTAAATACAGGAATCTCTTCCCTGGCTCCAGTCACGGGGGTGCAGCCCTCCTTTTGTGTCCCTTGTTTGGGAAGGAGCCTGTCAGCATACCTCGCCAGCAGGATGCCCAGCACTCCGACCAGGTACGCCACGTACGGTCTCCAGGCGGCCCGCACTTTATGCAGCGAGAGGAGCGAGATCGTCCTGGCTATGCTGATGAAAACGATCACAGATGTGCCCTGGTTCAGCCGAGCTACCATGAGTACACCAGCGGCCGAGCAAAGGAGCACAACCCCGGCCGCTGCAGCGGACAGCTGCTCATCTGTCCCGTCCAGAAGAGACCACGCCGCGACTTCGCCCAGGTGGCACAAGGTCAGGAGGGAGATGAGGGTCTCGATCAGCACCCCGCAGTGGATCAGGTACACCCCGACCCAAAAGAAGGCACATAGGAGCGCGAACAGCAACGATAGCGCACTCAGGCAACTTTGCAACAGCTCGGCTGCGCAGGCAGAAACAAAGTGGAGGGGGGACGATGTGTGCAGGAGTGTGTCAGCACTGCTGCTGCTGCTGGCCTCAGCTGTCCAGTCTGCGCATTTGACCAAAGCGGCGAGGAAAACGGAGAGCGACCCCACGCACACTGCGCTCCGGAACCTCTGGGAACTCCAGAGTTTGTGAAACATCAGCCTGAGCCACGTTTCACAGTCCTGCTCTCTGCAGCGCGGGATGACGCGTGCTTTTACATACCCATTCAGATCCGGTGCGCCCAAGCCTTTCTGGCGACTTTTGCTCTGCGCATCGGTGGTACTGCAAACCTCTGCAGACATCGCCATCATTCATGGCCCGAGGTGAAGTATGAGGAAGTCTATAAAGCATCTACACAGGTGTGGTCAGGGGGCCAGGGCAGAGTGAAAAACAGGCATCATTTTGGTGCAAATGTTGGAAAAAGTAAGACGCAAGCGAACATCCGTCTTTCCTTTACGCATGGGTCTAAGCAGCGTCTCTTTGTTTTCCAGGTGCAGGATGCAGAGGGGAGCCTGAGTGACAGAAGCTTCCCAGATCTAGGGCATCGGCCCTCCGTGGCGCGTCTTTCACGTCTCCTATTAGTCTCTGCGTGGAGACCCCAGGAAACCGCGGCGGCAGTCAGACCTTCGGAAGAAGAAAAAAACAAAACATCAGCCCTGTTGCGTGATCGTCCGGCTCAAAATGATCTGGTTGTCTTCTTCCTGATATGAGACGAAACATTCCCTCCGGTGCGCTTCCGAGGATAAACTCGTTTGTGTTATTTAAGCTGCAAAGAGTCAGAGCGGCGTTTTCCCGGATAAATCCGGTTTTGTCACCAGCTCTCCAACCAGCCGCGAGTCTCGCCTCATTCACACCCCTGACTTCTACTTTTTACACCCAGTGAGGGTGAAGTTCCCCAATTCCCCCACTGCCAGCCCAGCAAGAGTATCTGAAGGAAGGTTAGGGCGCGTTTTCTCTCATATTTAAGGGTCATTCCTTTTTTTTCTTCTGTTTTTTATCCACAGTCTGTGCTAATATACATATATGCATTTAGACTAATAAACAAATAAAGAAATAAATAAGGGAGACTTCTTGGTGTTGCATAACTATAATGTACAGGAACAGCCACATTTTAGGTCCTGTAGTCTCTCAGTGTGCACACATTTAGTTGTGGCCTTGGAAGTTTTGCAAGTTTTCCAATAATCGACAAAAAAGTAACTTTCATTACAGTTTATAGGATAGTGTAAAGTTAAACAATATTTACACTTTCTTTTCAGCTCATTTCTTTTTTCTTTACAAATAAACGCCTAAAAGGTGTGAATTCAGCCCTCTGCCCTGATATTATTGAATAAAATCCAGCTCACCAAACCTACGGAAGAGGATTAGGGCCACTGAAAAAAAAAAAGTTAACTGTCTTAGTTTAACATGGGAAACAAGTCAGAATTCTGACTTTAATCTGAGAATTCTGCCTTTTTTTCTCATAATTCTGACTTTTTTCCTCAGAATTCTGACTTTAATCTCAGCATTCTGACTGAATTCCAACAATAAAAAAGTGAGATTAAAGTCACAATTCTGAGAAAAAAGTCAGAATTGTGACTTTAATCTCAGAATTCTGACCTTTTTCTCAGATTTCTGAGATTAAAGTCACAATTCTGACTTTGTTCTCAGAATTCAACATATACTCATTATCAGTTCGTATGAAATCGTCCGAAAAGTTATGCACACTATTCCGTACGTTTTGGACGTTTTTCCTCAAAAAACCACATTAGTGCGCTGGCGGACAGAAAAAAAAAGCAGATCCGCGGATGGACGTAAAACTGGGAAAAACAGTGCAATCATCACTTATTCATGTCTCTAACTACGTTGCTTGCTGTTTTATATCTTAGGGTCAGGGTTAGGGCTAATTGTAATTTAGATTCTATATTCGTGAATGTGCATACGACGAACAAAATGTACAAAATTACGGTGCATAACTTTTCGTACGATTTCATACGAACTCATAATGAGAATACACTGCATAATTCTGACTTTTTTCCCATACTTTAAAAATCAGTTAATTTTTTTTTTTTTTTCCCACTGGCCCTAATCCTCTTCCGTACCAAACTGTCCTTTTAGTAAGTTGAGTCTAACTTTGTGTGACTTAATGCCAATTTAAATAAATTCAGCTGTTCTCTGATGGTTTGCTGGAGATTATTAGTGAAAAGCATAATAAACACAAGACTGATCAAGGATAAGGTTATGAAAAAGTTCAAAGTAGCTGTAAAATATTGTAAAACAATAACCCAAGCTTTAAAGATTTAGACTATTTCTTAGTCCATTTTCTGTATATCATAAAGGCTAACACATTTATTCCAAATTTATTGTCATCACAATTTCTTCAAAAGTGTGTTTTTGCTTTAACATGACATGGTTAGGATTTCTGGTGCTTATTCCAACTCTGATATTTTGGTAGGCTACTCTTTCAAAAAGTCTGAAATTAACTAATTTTAATCACTAAAACTAAATGCCACGACGAGCCACACATTTTAGCAGTGTTTTGTTAGCTAATCTGTCATCCTAATCTGGTTTAAAAACAGGAAACACACAAATACATCCTAGAATAGCATTCAGAGTGCAGAGCTCTGGCAAACAGCAAATGTTGCCTGATATTGTGACTTACAACTCTAGCTAAAATTGCACACGTTCTGGATAGTTACCAAATATTAATTAATTGTTTCTTAGCATGAGGTGCGTCTTTGTTAAAAGTTTCCTTAAAATTCTTTCATAAGTTTATAAATAAGGCACAGGGTGTGTCTGCAGCCTCTGGTGTTTGTTCTGCTCTCACCTTTTTTATTCACTCTACTTTCACACTTGATCAGCAGACCCAGACTTCGAGTGAGGCATGGCTCACTTTTCCTGTGTTTTTGTCTTGAGTATAAAATCTGGATTTTTTGAGTGCGATGCTACAGCTGTCAACAGTCACTGCTGCCACCCTCTGGTTTAGAGGGAAACTGTTCGCGCTAAACACCTTAAAGAATCCTTGAAAAAGAAATCCTGCATCCTGATTAGAATGTGGATCATCACCAAAATGTATTGGATTGTTTTTTTAGACTGAGGTTCACCTTTAATAAAAAATATTTTTCAAGTTATGCTGTACACAGACAGACACACAGATTATCCATAATACGGTGGATGCAACAAGGCAGGAAGTTGTAGGGAAATATCATTATTGTGAATGAGGGTCTCAGAAAAGAAAGATGTATATATGACACTGATGAAAGTGTGCTTTTAACATCATTGTTGAGGCAGAAATATTGAATATTTCTAAACTGGGTTTCATTCTTTTTCACTACGAAACCAAAGTAGAAATAGATTAAAGATTATTTTTTATTATTAAGAATTCAATAAATTTCCCTTATGTAATGCTCACCAGTAAATTCATATGTTTAGGAATATCCTGCTTCCATGTATGGTACAGATAAGCTCCTGACAATGGAAATGTCTGTTGAGAGTTAATTGCTGCTAGGTATATATTTTACAAAAATGCCATTTGCTTGTGGAGGATTGTTTAAAAGACCCACCCTCTCCATTTTAAAAAAATAAATGCAGGTGCAGAAGCATGCATAAGCCCATTTCTCCTCGTGCACGCCCTCTTTAAAATGTGCTTTGCTCATAGCTCATACAAGCTTACTGTGTCCACATAAAGCAGGGACTATACAGTTGACTTTATAGCAAACTCAGTTAACTGACCGTTTGGACAGATGATCACTGCTTTTTGCTCTGTTGATGACGTAACTCCTCCTCCACTGTGCAGTGCCTGCGCCATCTTTGTTATTAGTCGCCGCTGTCGGGTAGCAGCAGCCTGAGGGAGGAGAGTTTGCAAGGAGATCTCTCCCCGCAAAGCATTCTGGGATATATCTGTCTCTTCTAAGGCCTTTCTTTTCTTATATAACCCAAACTTTGTAGACACTTTTTCTCTTACCACCCCCCGGCCATTTTTCAAGAACCGCAGTGAGAAAGGTGAGCTTCAATGACTGTCTGAAACCGTAGCTCACCACCGATATGCGGCTGAATGGGTGCATGCGCAGAAAAAGATAGCTAACGGGGCGAGCACGTAGGACGGACTTACGTAAATATCACCAGAATGATTGACAATTAGGAGGACCACTTATTGAGATGATCCACCTGGAAATAAAAGATCATCCTCTATACCAAGGGTGGGCAATTCCAGTTCCTGGGGGCCGGGATCCTTCAACTTTTAGATGTGTCTTTGGTTCAACACACCTGAATCAAGTAATTAGTTGATTGAGAGGACTTGTGAGAAACTGACTGCATACTGAGCAGGTAACTCAGCTATTTGCTTCAGGTGTGTTTGATAAAGAAAGGATGTAAAACCTTCAGGATTCCGGCCCTCAGGAACTGGAATTGCCCACCCCTTATACCTTTAATTGTGGCAAGATAAGAAAAAAAAATAGTTTGGGATATGTGAAAAGTAATATGGGAAGAAAAAAATGGGTAAATCCTGGGGACAAGCTGTTTGTAGCTGACAGAAGGATGGTGTATATTGAGTTAAATCAATCACTGGGTAAACTTTCATAAAGCAGGAAAGGTTTTTCTTGACAATGTTGTGACGGTTAGCTTATACGTCGCAGCGCATAAAGGCAGGTTAACATGAAAGCAATGGACAGCTTCAGATCCAGACTTAGTTGTAGTTAAGATCCTTTGACTAGACCTAAAATAGAGAAACATTATTTGATTGAGGTTGTGTACTTCCAAGATAAATGCAGAAAAGTTTCAATCTTGAGATGGCAGAAAGCAAAGCTGCAAAATACATACCCCAAAATACTTAAAGTTGAAGTTAAAGTGACAAATGCACACCGCAACAGTTTTTAATTTTAATAAAACCTGAAACAATGTGTGTTTCATTTCACAAATATACACTAGTTTTCTTTTTTCACATAAATATCATCTAAAATCCACCAGTTTGTGTTTGTAACATAAGAAACGTGAATAGGTTTTATAGTTAGGATCACTTTGGAAGAAACTTTGAAAAGCTTAGAGGTGTATTTTATGTTTTTTTTTTTTTTTTAAAGGAGCAGGCAGCAAGAAACATCAGGTTTTCATGCAAACTTGTTTTTCACTGGAAAACTCCCAAATCCGACCCCCACAGGTCTCCTTTCCTCTCAGACATTGAAATATTCATCCCATCTATCCTCCCACTTTTGGTGTCACCAATAGTGGGGAGGGAAGCTCGCATGAATGTTTCAGCTTTTCATTATTCTGAGCTGCATTAGTGAGGCACACGTGCTTTCCTTCAGACTTGCATCAAATTTCTCTTTGGAATACCGCTTACCAAATTAAGAGAATTCATGCTCTGTATACAAACCAACATATTTAGCTAAGCATACCTAATCTTAATTATAGTTACTACAGCATAAATAAGCAAAAGGACATGTACAAATTGTACTCACCGTGGGGGAAATCATAAAAGCTGAACTGCACAGTGTGTTTTTCTGAACCGGGTTTCAAATGGTTGTCACTTCAAACTGTGCACTTCTTACCCATTGATTTGGGTTTGCGGTCTTTCTCATAACAGCTT